GGTAATTCTTTGTTGTTCTTAGGTGTGTGCCTTTAAAATGATTTTAGATTTTCGAGAAAAAAAAACAACATAATTTAAACAAGAAATCAATAATACAGTCAAATCAAGATAACTTGATCAAATTTGCCATGCATATATAGATAAATATTACCTTGAATGAAAATATTGTATGCACTTTGATTACAACATATGAGAGAGACACATAAACTAAATGTATTTATTAGAAGCAAAAGATATCCCTAATTCTGATATAACTAGCATTAGACAACTGTCAATCAAAATTTCTGGATGACACTCGAATAGACATTAGTTAAAATAAGAAATTACTTGCCCATAAAGCTTAAAAAGCTATAAAAACATGCATATGTGCTACAAAATTCAATTATTTCAACCTATAGGTAAACGATGATATTTATCAATTACAGATAATACCGAAAATATAAGGTTAAAAAAGTTAAGTTTTTTTAAAAGTAAAACATTATGTTATACAGTTAAATTGTCCAATAAAATTATGCAGAGAAGTTGTTGAAAATGATGTTAATAGTGTCATATAGCTTCTGTTTCAAAATCACATTATCATTACAGTTTGGAAACAAAACAAAAAAATTGAAACAAAATGACAATATCCGCTACAGATTAAGTGCTAACGAAAATTTGTAGTTCAATAATAAAACTCAAATTTACACAGTACAACGTAAAAAGATACAATTGCTTTAACTTATGATGTCGTTTCAAGAAAAACTTTTCAAATTCTAATTTATATTCAATAAAGTTTAAACGAAGAACGAAAAGATGGTTTCCAAAAAATTATTTAAAACTAGACTGTGTCCTCAGGACACTGATGCTCCCACTGCTGCAACAACATGTGTAACAAACCTTTTGCATCAGGTATTAAAAACAAGTGGTGATCATGACTAGTACATGAGGAGTAAGTGCTATACAATTTTATGACTAACATAAAGAAAAGGTATTGACTCTGGAGAAAATGCTTGCAAGAAAAAATCCTTTACAACAATGTACACATAATGTCTAGTCAATCTGTGCAAGTTTATTAGAAAATCAGCAAAGTAGAAAATGTGAAGTTGATGCCACAAATGTTATGGCATAAAATGTTATGAGTGGCAATAACAAAAGGCCATAAGTCTGGTAAAAATGGCAGCAGGAAAAAAATTATTTTCTTTACAATCATCTATAAATCCTGCTTGATCCTCTGTATAAGTTTAAAAGAAATCGGTCAGGGAGTTAATGAAGAGCTGATGCCACAAGATTTTATTACTGAACTTATCAAAGGGGCCATAAACTATGAGAAAATGGCGCAGGAAAAATATTTTCTTAACAAGGCCATTAGCAGGGATCCCCGCCAAAAGTGTTTTCTCATTTTAAAATGTAAGTATAGGCAAAATAACAATTTAAAAGGCTTTTGGGGAAGAAAAAAGAAGGGGGAAGTGATTTCAGATTTTAAACCCCAGTAAACTGATGCTAAAAAAACAAAAGGGAATAACTCAAAATTTTGCAGGTAGAGTTATATTTTGTTGCCACTCACCTCTATGAATCTATCCACCTAGAAGTTTTAAGTTTATCCACTTTTTGAAAAAAAAAAAAAAGGGGAAAAACTCAAAAAAATTTTAAAAATTTAGAGTTATCATTCTTTGTGCACAGCATTCCTCCTCAATAAGATCTATCCACCTATGAGTTTCATGTTGACATCTCAAAGACTTTGAGTTATGCTCCACTCAGACAGAAAAATAAAGTATGAAAAATAACAAAGGGCAATAACTCAAAAATTATGCAGGGTGGAGTTATTATTCTTGTGCACTGCACTCCTCCTCATTATGATTCTATACCCCACCTATGAAGTTTTCAAAGTTGATACCTTAAATACTTTTTTGAGATATGCTCCGGACAAAAGTGACTGACGGAAGGACGGACGTACATATGGCCGAGTGCAACTCTATATGCCTCCCACTTCGTGGAGTCATAAAAATCCATATACAAACTAGACTTACAAAAATCAATGTCAAAATAAGGTTAAAAACATTATTCCGATATGTTCCTCTTATAAATTGCCCCCATATCAACAAAGCAATTTAGAGGACATAATATGCATTTGCTCTTGAACCAAAAATACAAACTTCAAATCGACGTCACCTACAGATTAGATTCAAATGTTTGTTCAGTAATGTTTATATATGTTTTATTCGGATCAGTTTAATGTAACTTAATCTAATTACAAGTAATGTGTTTAATGTTGAAACTCTTCTAACTGACACAAGTAGTATCACAGTAGTTCTTACTATTTATTGGTAAAATATTGAGTTGCGCTCTACCCGAAGCTAAACGGCGTGGGCAGTAATATGCATTTTCCATTACTGCCCATGAACAGGCTCATTAAACCGAGCCTGAAATATTTTCATATTGTGTCGCGTTCGTTCCCTTTTTTAATACTGTGATTAGTTTCCACTTATTAAAGGTTTTCTCCCATTACTTCGAGCGCCACTTGCTTTCGGAGATCTGGCGATATATCGTCCTGAAATAAACATTTCAACACAATAAAAATACTTGGCCTTCTAGTTTCAAAATTACGGATTTCATTAAAGGAACATTTTGGGTACGATAAATTATATAACTGCATTATTTTGTAATATTGCATACAATAGCAAAAAAGAATTAACTACATGAACAGCTGTTCACAGTTTGGTTAAAATCAAGATCACCAAGTCAAACCTTTGAAAAGTCATTTCCATACAATAACTCATGTTTATGTAGGAGCGAATTGTAAGTGTTATTTTTAATTTTCTTTCTGAAGGGAACCCCCTACATACCGAAGTCCCAACAAATCATTCACTTGTGTTATATCACAGTATACATGTATATCACTGATTTCTATCCCCTTTTGCAAAAACTGGAGTTATGGGCGCGGAAATGACATTTCTAAAAGTTGACATAGTAAACCTTGATTTTAAGGAAGCGTGACCAAGTTTAGACCGTAAAGTGACCTTGAGTACCCACTTCACACTGCCAGGTAATGTATATAAACATTTTTATGTTCAATCAATAAAGTTTTAGATTTTAGCCCGCTGGCCTGCCAGCCCGCCCAGTTCACACTGCTAGCCCGCTACACTGCTAGCCCGCCCACTTCACGCTGCCAGGTAATGTATCATAAAATTTTTATGTTCAATCAATAAAGATTTTTAGATTTTAGCCCGTTGGCCCCGCCAGCCCGCCCAGTTCACACTGCTAGCCCGCTACACTGTCAGCCCGTCCAATTCACACTGCTAGGAAATGTATCATGAGGTTTTAATGTTCAATCAATAAAGTTTTAGATTTTAGCCCGCTGGCCCCGCCAGCCCGCCCAGTTCACACTGCTAGCCCGCTACACTGCTAGCCCGCCCAGTTTCACACTGCCCGGTAATGTATCATAACACATTTTATGTTCAATCAATAAGTTTTAGATTTTAGCCCGTTTGGCCCGCCAGCCCCGCCCAGTTCACACTGCTAGCCCGCTACACTGCTACCCGCCCACTTCACACTGCTAGGTAATGTATCATATAACGTTTTTATGTTCAATCAATAAAGTTTTAGATTTAAGCCCGCTGGCCCGCCAGCCCGCCCAGTTCACACTGCTAGCCCGCTACACTGTTAGCCCGCCCACTTCACACTGCCAGGTAATGTATTATAACATTTTTATGTTCAATTCAATAAAGTTTTAGATTTTAGCCCGCTGGCCCGCCAGCCCGCCCAGTTCACACTGCTAGCCCGCTACACTGCTAGGCCGCCCAGTTCACACTGTTAGCCCGCTAGACTGCTAGCCCGCTCAGTTCATATTGTTAGCCCGCTACACTGTTAGCCCGCCCACTTCACACTGCCAGGTAATGTATTATAACGTTTTTATGTTCAATCAATAAAGTTTTAGATTTTAGCCCGCTGGCCCGCCAGCCCGCCCAGTTCACACTGCTAGCCCGCTACACTGCTAGCCCGCCCAGTTCACACTGCCCGGTAATGTATCATAACATTTTTATGTTCAATCAATAAAGTTTTAGATTTTAGCCCGCTGCCCCGCCAGCCCGCCCAGTTCACACTGCTAGCCCGCTACACTGCTAGCCCGCCCACTTCACACTGCTAGGTAATGTATCATATAACGTTTTTATGTTCAATCAATAAAGTTTTAGATTTAAGCCCGCTGGCCCGCCAGCCCGCCCAGTTCACACTGCTAGCCCGCTACACTGTTAGCCCGCCCACTTCACACTGCCAGGTAATGTATTATAACATTTTTATGTTCAATCAATAAAGTTTTAGATTTTAGCCCGCTGGCCCGCCAGCCCGCCCAGTTCACACTGCTAGCCCGCTACACTGCTAGGCGCGCCCAGTTCACACTGTTAGCCCGCTAGACTGCTAGCCCGCTCAGTTCATACTGTTAGCCCGCTACACTGTTAGCCCGCCCACTTCACACTGCCAGGGTAATGTATTATAACATTTTTATGTTCAATCAATAAAGTTTTAGATTTAAGCCCGTTGGCCCGCCAGCCCGCCCAGTTCACACTGCTAGCCCGCTACACTGTTAGCCCGCCCACTTCACACTGCCAGGTAATGTATTATAACATTTTTATGTTCAATCAATAAAGTTTTAGATTTTAGCCCGCTGGCCCGCCAGCCCGCCCAGTTCACACTGCTAGACCGCTAGGCTGCTAGCCCGCCCAGTTCACACTGTTAGCCCGCTAGACTGCTAGTCCGCTCAGTTCATACTGTTAGCCCGCTAGACTGCTAGCCCGTTAGCCCGCGTACTTCACGGACATGTTTTTTTTCCTTTTTATTGTATAGATCTAATAGATAGAAATAGAAAGATTTATCAGATAGAAATAGAATCATTTACATGAGTGAAGTTGGCTTAATCGTAACTACATCGTCAGGATATTACAACTATTTCTACCCTTAAAATTTCTAAACTATGAAACAATATATTACAAATTAAAGTTATGCTGATCATTTTTCATTGTTTACAGAATATGTGGCATAGATTATCCAAGGGATGTTGTAATTCTTCATCCATTAGGTAGGGGTATTACAGGACCGGACACAAGTCATTTTGTTGTGAAACTTGAAACATATCTAAGATTTCACAATTTACCTTACAAGGTACATATATTTTACTTTTGTAAGATTTGTATTGGATTGATCATGTTAATATTATAATGTACATTTTATATTATATTTTAACTTTAATTTAAGATATATATTATGTAGATATGATAATTTAAAGTCACTATTCTATAATGTAATAAATATACAGAACAGAACAGAACGAATAGGTTATTTGACTTAAGCATTACAAGCTCATCGTCGATCAACAATGAAAAGAAGCAGAACATATATATTAAATATACAATGTAAATAACAGCGTTATATACTACTTTTGAGCTATTACGCGATTAAAGTCACAGGTTTAAATTGTCAGGTTCTTTTAGTTAGTGAAAATATTTGTTTTGTTGATGCCCTTTTTGGTGGTTGGGCGGGGAGGGGTGGGCTGTTGTTGCTTTTGCTATATAGTATATTTGAAACATGTGTCATCTGTTATAATGATATGCATAAAAAGTATGTTTTAATTCCTCAGTGACCGTGTGTATGTATTTACAATAAGAATCAATATTTATTTTTTGTTTTCGTCAGTCTGACTTCAATATAGATAACTACAAGTTAGGTCCAAAACAGAAAGTTCCTTGGATCGAATATAATGATGTTACACTTGGCGACTCTCAGATGATTATAGAGTTTTTAAACAAGGAGTTGAATGTGGATATGGATGCTCATCTTTCGAAGCAAGAGAAAGCGCTAGCATGGGCAATACAGAAATGGATCGAGGAATTCATGTATTGGTGAGATATGGTTTCTTTTTACATTTGCACAGTCTCCTGACTTTTGACTAGCACAAACAATGCTTGTGATTATTATGTGCTTATCAGAGATGAGTGCATTCAATTGCAGTGTTCTTGAATGGGCAAGGAGGAATGCATGTATTGGTGAGATATGGTAATTTTACATTTACGTAAGAGCAGGGATAATAAAATGCTAAACTGTGTTTATCTGACAGTATAACATACATTAATATTACAGTTTTTTTTCACAGTCAATACGGAAATGGGATGAGGAATTCATGCACTAGTGAGATCATGGGCAATATTTAACAAAAGCGCACATGTTTTTTGATTAGCATAAATAAATCTTAAATGATTCCTTACCAGTGATAGTTGAATAAAACCTACAGTGTGTTAATTGCAAAATAGAAGCTTTACATACTAAAACTTTTGCAAGTTTTATGCTAACAGAAAGACACATGTGTATATTTTTGTGAAAATGAAAATACCGCCAAAATTTCAGAAAATATACGATACTCTCCTATATTCACCGATTTGTGGACTGTTTTCATATTGTAAAAACGTACGTTAGATGGTTTTAATATTGCACGCTTTAATAAATTTGAAGTAAAAAAATGAATTGATTGACCATTGATATGAAATACTCAACTTATCTACATTATACCTGTATTATTGGGGCGTCCGTGGCCGAGTGGTTAAGGTCGTTGACTTCAAATCACTTGCCCCTCACCGCTGTGGTTTCGAATCCCGACAGGGACTTTGGATTCTTTCATGTGAGGAAGCTATCCAGCTAGCTTACGGAACGTCGGTGAAGAACACTCAGGTGCCCGTTCGTGCCTAAAATAATGCACGGAAGGGCACTTGAGGTCTTCCTCCACCCGTAAAGCTGGAACGTCGCGATATGACATATACTGTGTCGACGTGACGTAAAACCCAAAACAAACAAACATGTATTATAATGAAAAACATGTTTATCACAAAACCCATACAATAAAAACTAAATTTCACTACCGCAATGAAGTGACGTCATTTGCGTTAAATGTGAACATGGCGCGCTTTGTTTTTAACGCAAATGATAGCGTTACACTATAGACTCGTCAAAGGAAATGACTCTTTATAAGTGTTAACCGTTCTTATTTTGGATATGTGATAAATAGAATATTATATTCGTGTAGATTCAATGCTATTTCTCTTTGAACTCGTTCAATACTAATTTTATACTCGCCAGAGGTCCGCAAATTACACGATTTCATTCAAAGAGTTCAAATAATTTTCTATTCAATCTACACGGACGCATTCAATATTTTCTTTCATTTCACTTGCAGGATAAGTGTGCAATGGACCTGGGTTTTATTTATAGAAGAAACATTTCAAGATGGTATTTCACCCTTTCCTTTAGATGAGAAGTCGGCGGTTAAAGTCTGGGTAGCCAATATGACATATACAGCAGGAATAGGAAGACATAGCGAGGAGGAAATTCTGGAAATAACAGTCTCAAATTTACGAAAGTTTTCTGATATTTTAGGTACTTTTTTGCGTTGTTAGGTCTTCTAGAGTTTATGTTATTTCAGGTAAACATGATTCTATGTCTTGACTCAAAGTCAGATACCGATTTTTCTCTTATTAAATAAAATTTCAGAGTAATCATAGGTTTCATAGTTTAATTATGAAAATGAAAAGTCTATTGAATCTGTTTTAAATTGTTCGGTGATGGGACATGCGGTTTTACTTTTATTAAAAAGGAAAATGTTCTGTCTTTGTACAATTTTACGTTTATTTCATGCATGATAAGAGAAATAGCAATATGTCTAAGATTAAAAATATCATGACGAATAAAATGATTTAGATGAAAGGCCTTATTGATCAATTATATATTTAAACAATGTTACATTATGAATTTGGTTTTCAACTTATAACTGATTTGTTGCTTTCAGGGGAAAGGCAGTACATTTTCGGAGACAAAATGAGCACCGTGGACTGTTCTGCATTCGGTATATTATCTCAGATGAGATGGTTAACCCCTAAATCATGCCCATGTTATAAGGTTTTTGAAGGTAAACATTTATTAGAGTACAAATTACCTATTGTTACCAATCTTTGGGTTCACATATGTAATACACTTCGGTCGAGCGAAACAGAGTCTTTAATTGTAATGTGATAAGCTCAATTTTATTTATATCAAAGCACATGTATTGGCCCCGGAAGACGCTTCTTTGTATTAAAGCATGTATTGGCTGAGGATATATTCTGATTAAGCCGGTGCTAGGGGGCGTGGACAGTAGCTTGTACTTACCAGTACTTTCTATGAACAGGCTGAATTAAACCCAGCTTGCAACATTTTTAATTTTGTCGCTCTGGACGTTCTTTAGGAATTTTGTTTTTCTCTATTTAAGAAAAGAAAAAATGTACAGAACGATAGAGTTATCCGATAAGCTGTGGATTTTATTCACAAGCAAGCTATGAAAAAGCGATTTTTAAAACATGTTTTTATGTACCATTTGAAAATTGTATACACATTCGAAACAAATGTTCTCAAGTTATGATCTATCTTTAATTACGTTTTCATTGTAATGACATTTTTGTACCATTTAGTAGTCTGAAAGGGAATTGCCTTTACCACGGCCTTTACTATGGAACCGATTCCAGTGGCATAACCAGGTTGGTACTTTAGTTATTCTATTTTTGTCTGTTATATTTGCTTTTCTATATTTTCAGATGGTGAAATATCTAATGTTGTAAAATACCTGGACAGAATACGAGATCATTATTGGCCTGATTGGGACAATCCAAGATTTTAGCTGGCGCTCTTAGTCATTGATATTTGTTCTTGTAAAAATGAAAGGCAACCCATAGCGTCTGGACGCACCTAAATTATTCGACACGATAGTGTTGTCTGATAATGTTCTACACACGACACGTTCAGGCAGTACATAATTATTCTATAATATCCTCTAAAATGATAAATTGTACTGTCCAGATTATAGATTACAATCGTGCATTACAAGACTGCCAATAAAATGATGCTAAATGTAAAAAAATAAATGTATCATGTGTTTAGCTTTAAAATATGTTATCTATTGCATGATTTATATGGCATCGTGAAATTGATAAAAGCAATAAATCGATTAAGTGTACGTGTTTATAGTGTGTTGTTTTTCCTTAACGTGCGGAGGCAATTTATCTGTTAGGTTCATAAATTGTTTACAAATGCATTTGTGTTGCCTAGTAATTTGTTTAACAGGAATATTAATGTTCTTAGTATTTATTTAAATACCAGTCTTACTTTGACGTAAATATCGTGCAGACGGTTATATGTCATGTAAGAATTTTTGTACGTAAAGTGAATGGTTGTAATTTGTTTTGCTGTGCAAAAATAGCAATTTATTTCAGCATGTTTATTTTAATATTTATAGTGTAACACAATATTCTAGTTTTATTGATACACTTCATTTCAGATTTCAAATTTGAATTGATAATATAAATAATTGATTACGTGTTTCATGTGGTTTTCTTTAAATTGAGATATTGACCTGTGCATGGATTATCAAAACTGTGTTATTATTTTATTCCTTGCACTTTCGTGTACCTACACGACCATGTTTTGAAATATTGCTATCAGTATATAGTGGTATATTGCTTCATATTTTATAATTATATAGGTCATGAAAAACTAACACGTTGTTTAGCCTTTACTCAAAATATTCATACCAACTTCTGCATTATAGCACAGTGGGATTCAAGGTATGTTTTTCATATGTGATATTGAGCAGTATCCCTTTGGAGTATGCCGGCTTATAAAGATGACCAAACTTATACTATAAACACGCAGTGGTGTGTTTAGCATTAGTGATAGTAAGTCATGCCGAAAGTGTAGTGATACATTGAAAGCTAGTGCGCGTAAACAGACCTTGAATCTGAATTTCAACACAATGATGACGGTTATTAATTGAAGCGCTGGAAACACACGAAACTTCATTTATAATTTACTTTCGTCATACCTAGTAAGATAATCACGGGGGAGGAAGTGTTACACGAAGGATGGAGTTCTTATGATAACTTGTTTGGAGTTCTTATGATAACTGTCACGGAGTTCCTGGAAAAACGTTACGGATTTCTGTGGAAACTTTTCTATATACTTGGAGAACTCGCTTAAAAATGGTTATTTTTAACTTTAAATGGGGAGTTTGAGGTGCTAAATTTAACTTTGATAATTAAGCTTGCCCTACATATTGTATTTTGTTTCAGAAAAAATCTTTTAGTCCATATTTTGTCGCCTTTTTAAAAAAATATCTGGTAGTTTTTAGAAAAATTACCAAATTACTTGCTAATTCGTACATATTGACCTTTTCATTTGTGATCTTCTTCATTGCTATACTTAATTACCTAATTATTATGGAGAGTTGCAAACATAAAGCCCAGGCTAATAAATTTATACTCGATTTTTCAAATGTTACGGAGTTCTTGCGATAAACTCAAAAATATGTCCTGGAGTTCTTATGATAACTTTTGTTACTGCCAGTGTGTTTTTGTGCTTAATCGCGGCACGTTTAAGCGTATTTTATAAGTCAATAAGTGTGTAAATCATTATGAAGCATAGTACGCTTATCATTTGCACAAAAATTTGGTTATATAACGTTGGTTTTGATCGTGTTTTTCAGTTCAAGAGATATTTTTCTAACCTCCGTTCTTTGTGTTTGTTTGTTTTGGTCTTTGTGTGTGTGTGTGTGTGTGTGTGCGTGCGTGCGTGCGTGCGTGTGTGCGTGCGTGCGCGTGTGTGTGTGTGTGTGTGTGTGTGTGTTTAATATTTTATTGGAATGACTGTAAACATACTTGATGAAGAGCATTTACTTACAGGATAAAAATACGCTTTGAATTTAATACTCAAGCATGATTTCGTCATATATACATTATTCCTGGCAGTTTGAGAGAACCTATCGGTATGCATGTAAATGGTTTTCAGCAAAATAGGAGGTAGTATGGACTACCTTTATCTAAATGTAATGAGGTGGGTGTCGTCTTTATGTATTCTTTCTAAAAGGTATCAGTTTTTGTCATAGAAACGTATAAAGTTCTATGACAATGATATGACGATAGAAAGTAAGTCTTCAATAAGATATGTGAGTCACCGTAAAGTTCATGCCGTTTATTCTCTATTAAATCCAATGTAGCATCACGTGACGTACAGCAATTTCCATATTTCGGAAAATTACTGCATACATTTTTCTCCTAGTGGAAATTTTGCAACAACTTTTGCTGTAATTGATTACAAAAATATATTGTCGAACTTCCTTCGCTCGAACCCGTAGGGCACGTGCAAATCTGTCGAAGAGATCGGTAGTAATCGGTTGATTTTTTATGCATGAAAAGATCATACATTTCGGGTGCATGGGTGTGAAGGATATACGATACATGGTATATAATGATACAATTTACTTAGCCGCTTCTTGAGGGAAGCCCACCTACGTATTGTCTGCTTTAGAAAGGCGGTTGCTTAAAACATGTAACTGAGAAAAAAAGTGTAAGTTTTAAACAATTTTTCCTTGGCGGTTTAAGCCATCCGATGTTACTGCTAAATACAGGTGACCGCTATTTCAGGTTTTCCTGAAGATTTTTGTTTGTTTGTTTGTTTTATTTTACGCCTATTCCCAACAGTATTTCAGTCATATGGGCGCGGGTAGTTTCCTAACCATCGTTCCTGGAGAGTTACACCAGTACTAGACTACCTTCCTCCGTGCTAAACTACCAAAGCATCTCCCGGGGATCGAACCCACGCCAGAGAGGTAACTGTATTAGAAGTCATCGACTCAAACCCCTCGACCACGGAGGCGGTCGTTCCTGAAGATAGCTTAGCACCTGTTTATCCTATGTAGACTGTACACCAACGCAGTTTCATGTCTTCTCCAGATATATATTGAATGATCGTGTTTTAATTTTGCCACATGGCCTCAATGTTGCATTTGCGGAAACTTATGACATAAAACTTTTGTTGACGAACAGTATACATAGAAACATTTAGTGCATTCGTTGTCAATATGATTTCGCACAAATTTAATTAGGAACTAAAACACGACCAAAACCAACGTTATATAACCAAATTTTTGTGCAAATGATAAGCGTACTACGCTTCATAATGATTTACACACTTATTGACTTACAAAATACGCTTAAACGTGCCGCGATTAAGCACAAAAGCACACTGGCAGTAACAAAAGTTATCATAAGAACTCCAGGACATATTTTGAGTTATCGCAAGAACTCCGTAACATTTGAAAAATCGGGTATAAATTTATTAGCCTGGGCTTAATGTTTGCAACTCTCCATAATAATTAGGTAATTAAGTATAGCAACGAAGAAGATCACAAATGAAAAGGTCAATATGTACGAATTAGCAAGTAATTTGGTAATTTGTCTAAAAACTACCAGATTTTTTTTAAAAGGCGACAAAATATGAACTAAAAGATTTTTTCTGAAACAAAATACAATATGTAGGGCAAGCTTAATTATCAAAGTTAAATTTAGCACCTCAAACTCCCCATTTAAAGTTAAAAATAACCATTTTTTAAGCGAGTTCTTCAAGTATATAGAAAAGTTTTCCACAGAAATCCGTAACGTTTTCCAGGAACTCCGTGACAGTTATCATAAGAACTCCAAACAAGTTATCATAAGAACTCCATCCTTCGTGTAACACTTCCTCCCCGTGATAATGTGAGACTTTAATCAAGTCATGGCGTAAAAGAACTTTTTCGTGTCGTTAGATAGGTTTTTTTGTCGCCTTTCTATTGTGCAATGAAAAGGTTTACGCATTAAAATGTCACTCTTTGTTTTATATATATGAAGCTTTTTATATAATATGATGCAAAACAGCGTTTACATCAGAAGCAGCAGGTTGTATGCGTCAACATTTTGGAATTATCTTATATAAGGTAAGACATAGGACATTTAAGTTTTCTGTTAAAGAAAAATCAAAATGTTAATCAATATAATAAGTATACCACATTTACGCAATCATGTGTATACAATAAGTAGTGAAGTTGTTCTTTTTATTCCAGTTCGTTCAATATAATAAGAAATTAAATACAATTTCAATTTTGCCGTACACGGAGTCGCGTACTGTAAACTTGCCCTTGGTTAATATGTTTAACTGTATAACTTAATTTTATTTCACCGGAATATTCACATTTGTAAGTTGGTACATTTAAAATTGGAAATTATATCATGTACTTTCTTTTAATAATAAAATGGAAAACCAGGTTAGAATTAAAATGTATCCTCACAAGAATAATTATCATAAATACTCCTTAAAGTGAAGAGAGAATAACTTTATTAATCATCATCATAATTGATATCATAATTTTATTTGTTTAATGTTTGTGTCACATGCTTTTGTATAACTATTGGAAGACACTATGTGATTTTTTTTTAAATACAATACTTCAGACAAGAGACCTAGATCCTCAGCCATTCAAAATGATCAGGATACTCGTCATGTTAGGAACGGTAATTCCATTTTGTCCTGTAGAAGGGAGAACAGGCTGCTGGGCTGGGCCGCCTGGAAGCCAGGGGAATATCTGCATGTAAGTTGGTTTAAAGAGTTAATTGCAGGAGTATTAAATCGAATGGAAAGCAATTTATTTACGCAAAAAACAATTGCAACGCAATACAAATTCTGAATTCTGTATAATTTATCAGTTTCTTTGTAACAAATATTGAAGCACTGAGAACCCATTTGTATTATTATTATTAAAATGTATTATTTTTTAGTTAGTAAAAAATCAATCTGATAAAATCTGCATCTGCACGTACTTGTATGTAGTGGGTGGTGGTATTTTTATAATAAAAGACTAAGATTAAATACTGTGTAATCCGGTGATAGGGGGCATGAGAGAATTAAACCATTAATATTCCCTAATACCTTTCTACTTTCGTATTGTTGCTATTGAGAGATATTCTCTACTTCAGAGTTATCTTTCTGTCATCTGCTGTCACTGAATTTATTATATTTTCAGACAAAATACCACTGTGCCGGGACATATATCTAATGACATAAGATATTCGTTCATTTCGAGGTATACGCACATATGCTGCGACGTTTTAGCGTGCACTGACTTCCGTGGATGTCGTTTAAAGGAAGTAGGATGTTTCCAGGGCATGGTGTTATCACAACGTATACCCTGGGAGTTGAGAGATATTCATCCTCTCGTCAGTTGTTCTTCGTCCAACCAACCTGGCTATTATCAGTTTGAAATACACGCGTAGATTGTCTTACATTTTTGCTAAATTGGCTTTGACTGAATATATACACGGAAAAAAGCATTAAGTTTGTGAAATTATTTCATG